TGTATATCTGTTGAATTAAATTTACTTGAGTTTTCCAAAAAATGTGTCTTCCTTTCAGTGATTCAATGATTCTTTCCAGAGGTATAACTAATTGTTTCAGAGGCTTCCTTGGACTAATAGCAGTTACCCTTTCTTCTGCATTTAGTGTATCAGGTACTCTAGCAAATGCTTTATGTACATTAACTCATTTAACCCTATGAGGGAGGTCCTACTGTTCTCCCCATTTCACAGATAAGTACTTTGAGGTTGAAAGAACTGGTAACTGACCAAGGCAGGATTCCAACCTGGACTGCGTAATTCGATCCAAATCCATGCTCTACCCTTTGTCTATGAACTGAGGTCTCCCTGTATTCTCATCTTGACCATGGTCATCTAGGCTCTTAAGAAGTACAATTTTATTGCAGATGCAAGCTGAACTTTCCCGTGAGGAAAACAGTCGAGGGTTTTTGCTTAGACCGGACTCTCTTAAGGATCATCTCCATTGTTTATCTGCACCCATCCTTTAGGTGCCTTGTCATAAACAGCCCAAGACTAGGAAGAGAAATACAAGCCTCAATAGCTAAGTCCCTGTGGGTTTGAGTCTCTCCCCTGAATGACTGGCACTTCTATGCCACATTTTCTCTCTAGAGGAGAAACGTGGATCATTTTTTTTAGGAAGCACTGAGCACTGTTTTGGCCGCAGTCACTGTGCTAAGACTGAAAGTTCATGGCCCTTCGTGAGCTCACAATCTAATAGGGAGACAACACGCATACACATTCTGACTGTAAAACTGGGTCAGTAAAAAGGGCACTGAACTGAGTCTGGAAGACCTGGATCCAATTCAGAGTTCATATCTGCAACTCCAAAATCCAAAAAGCTCTGAAAACTGACCCTTGTTTTGTTTTGTTTTAATTTGTTTTTGTTTTTCATAACTCCTTTGGAGGTAAAACCTGATCTCTCACATGAAGTTTTATATGGTCATTATTCATCCTCTTAGTGTGATGATTCATTCGTTTTGCTAGAAAACAGTGTATCTGATCATAGAATGCTGTCCCAGCCCCCACATGGGATATAGATAATATATGACTCAGAACCCTGAAGTACATACGTCTCACCCCAAGAGTTTTGGAAAAGGAATGTGAACTTAATACCTTATGATCAATTGAAAAAAATCTGTGAAAAGACTTCATAAACTAAAAAGCCATGAATTCGGATAAGATGGTCTCATGGTACAATCCCTGTGATTGGGAGCATGCGGGATAGAGCATGTGATACTTTCCAGGGCCAAGAAAGAGTGAAAAAAGAAGTCTTAGGGGAAGTAAAATGTAAGTTGGGATTTAAAGGGCGAATGGAATTTTTCACTTCATAGAGAAGCTGTGGAAATGAAATTCTGGGCTGAGGCAAGAACATATAGAAAATGCAGGAAAAAAATATGTCCTTAAGTAGCTTGAGTGCATGGACTTTTCAGCTTACAGAGGAACGGATTATCTGTGAAAATGCAAGAGAAGCAGTACTGATAACACAGAGGGGCCCTCGTCCCCAGTCCATGTGCTCTGGGCAGGGTTTTTCTTTGCAGTGCAGACTTACACATTCATTCACGGAGAAACGCTATGGTCTGACCAGCTGAGGCTGCTGACCGCTCCGCCTTCCCAGGTCGGTCCAGCAAGGATCGAGTCGGCCCACCGCTCCTGGCTGGTGCTCACCTGGCTGCCCTCTGCTTGGTCCGGGGAAGCCACTAACCATCTGGCTTCTGTAGCATCAGACTGCCAGGTTAACATCAGATCAGCCACTTACTACTTCTGATGGCCTTGAGCAAGTCATTTACCTCTTTTGTGCCTTTGTTCCTCAGGCATAAAATCAGAATAATAGTAGAAAGCTGGCATGGAAAGCACTTAGAAGAATGACTCACTGGTAAGCACTCAAACAGTAGTTATTATTGTTCTTACTATTATTATACAAGGGTGCCCCCTCCTCCAGCTATATAAATTTTTGCATTCCTTAATATTTACCTAAAAAGGAGGGGAAGTCCCTTTCTTAATTCTCTCTGCTCTGGTCATCAACTTCTTCCTAGTTAACCACTTTCTGTAGGGACTATTTCTGTTTTGGGGTGTGTGGTTGGTTTTTGTTTTTTTTTTTTAATAGCTAACTGTTTCTCAATCATGGTGAGGAATGGCCTCCCTTAATTTGGTTATAATCTGGCCCTCGTCGGTTTGGCTCAGTGGATAGAGCATCGGCCTGCAGACCGAAGGATCCCAGGTTTTATTCTGGTCAAGGGCATGTACCTTGGTTGCAGGCTCCTCTCTGACCCAGGCCCTTGTCAGGACTCATGCAGGAGGCAATCAATTGATGTTTCTCTCACATCGATATTTCTCTTTTCCTCTCTATAAAAATTAATGGAAAAATATTCTCGGATGAGGATTAAAAGAAAAATGGGTCATAATCTGGTACAGGGATTTCCAGATTGGGATCCCTAGATCTCCAGGGGTCCTGTGGGCAGTCATGTGGATTCCCACACTAATTTCAGGATAGTGATACAGAGGAAGGTAAATAAGAGTGCCAGCTTTGAAGAGAAGCCTTGCTATGAACCAGTTATCTTACCCTGTGTCAATTCCATAATCTCTGGCAGCTCCATTATTTGATAGAATAGAAATATATCTATGGCTGAGTGGCTCAGTTGGTTGGGGCGTCTGGTACACCAAAAGGTTGCAGGTTTGATTCCTGGTCATGGCACATACCTAGGTTGCAGGTTTAAACCCCAGTCAGGGTATGTTTAGGAGTGCTGGAAACCAGTTCCAGCATGTCATAGTTGCAAGAGTTTCATCAAAAGGTTGATGGAACTTGGGGACTCAACAAGGACTGAGTCACATATGTTACAACCTGTTGGAATAGCTGAAGGTATTTCCCCAAATCTGAAAAGGATGCAGTAAATTGATTGTTTGCTACCAGACAGCTCAGGGCATTTTAATCTACATGTTATTGCCTTCTACTGGCCAAACATCTGAATAGCTATAGGCTATTCCCAATTCTGACAATGGACTCTGTAGACAAAACCCAACCCTTGAAATATGTATCTCCACCTTGCCTTAGGATAATTTGTGTTAATAAAAAGCAAGGGGCCCTGAGATAAGGAGAACTTAGTTTCTTTAGCTAGACTCCTCTGACCCCAAAAGCCTTTCAAAATTCTCTTTCATCTCTGGACTCTTAAGTTACACACAGCCTTTCTTCAGATTGCTGAACCTTCTTAATGCCAGAACAAGAACCCCCGCACAGGAGGCAACTGATATTTCTCTCTCACATTGATCTTTCTCTTTCCTTCTCCCTCTCTCTCTCTTTCTCCCCTTTTCTTTCTCTAAAATCAATAAAACATATCCTCAGGTAAGGGTAAAAAAAGTATCTATATATAAAAAATGAAAATATTAATACTGTTCTCACAGGAGCATTACATCTTACATCAGATCGTGACACCTTCAGCACAGGACATTGTGTAATAAATACCTGCCACCATTAATTTACTATTAGTATAAGACATTTCTTGAAAATCACACTTTACCCCAAGTTGGAGTCTCAGATATAATTAAAAGGTCGGATTTCACAAGAAGTAGATAGAGTTACTTCCATTTAGTGTGGTGGCATTGTTGCCCAATGCTAAGAGTCCCTGGTTGGCAGTTCTATGTGCCTTTAATAAGTAAAAATGAAGAGAAATATTGCTTAACAAGTACATTTGGGAAGAGAAAGCATTGCAAACATGAAGTCTGAGACGGGTTGGGGAGGGGAGAAGGACAAGGAGTACGGTGGTAAAAGTCACATGGACCCACCAGTTTAGTACACTGATCAGTGCTTTCTGGTTGTAAGGTCTCCTTTTTATAAAAAAAAGTAACACATGGACATTGTGGCCAGGCCTTCCTCGAAAGCCTGTTGGCATTTTACCCATGAACCAAAGTCCCAGGGTGTCTAGGGCCCACTGAGACCAAAGGGAGTTGTTATCACATAGAGTTGAAGTGGGAGGTGATATTGGAAGGGATGGAGTGCAAACCACCAGCACCTCCCACCCTTTTACAAATGGAGACACAGAGGCCTCAAGCAGGAAAGAGACTTGCTGGATGACAGCTGTGCATGGCTGGGCTTCACATGTAGGATGCTCAGCTCTGCCCAGCAGCCTCTCTGATAGGCCAGGATCCTCATCCAGAAGAAGCACCACTCCAGATGCTGAGCCAGAGTCACCCAGGGAGTCCTTTCTGACCCACACAGGCCACCTCTCCGCTTCCCCCACCCTCCCCTCTCCCCTGTGTGTTTTATGGGGGAAGAGAAAATGGAGAACAAAGGACAAGTCCAGGGTGTCCCAGTTGTGCTGGTCCCTAAGAACTAGTCGAAGTGCCCTCATCTGGAGGTTCTAGTTCAGTGGTCAGAGCTGGGCCTGAGAACCTGTATTACTAAGGACACCAGGTGATCAATAAGCAAGTTTGAGGGACAGGGGGATTTTTATTTTCTGTTCTAGAGTGGACAGTGAGGTTGAAAGGTCACTAGGATTTCCCCCGTGCAGTGCTGACAGACTTACCCTGCATCCTGTGCTAATTCCTTACAGCACCTTTCTCTTTTCTAACGGAACTGGAACCGGAATTCCTGGGCACACAATGGCAGCTCAAAAATGTTGCTGACTGACCTACTCTGGGGAAATGATTTGAGCAAAAGGTGCCCCATCTACCCCTGAGCAGTTGCTCAGTGGTTAAAGCTTCGGCCTACCCACCAAAGGGTCTTGGGTTCAATTCCTGGGCAAAGGCATGTAGGTACCTAGGTTGCAGGTTCCATCCCCGGCCCCAATCAGGTCGCATGCAAGAGGCAACCAATCGATGTTTCTCTCTCCTCGCCCTCCTCCTTCCCTTCCATACTGTCTGAAAATCAATGGGGAAAAAAATATCCTTGGGTGAGGATTTAATTAGTTAATTGATTAATTAAAAATTTTAAAAAATATGCCCTGTCTAGCCTGGGTGGCATTAACATCTCTCTCTGACTTTGTGCTTAGACTGAAGAACCTGGAGCTAGCTGCTGTAGGCGGATCAGACGTCCATGTGAAGATGCTGGCGGCCCCTATCAATCCATCTGACATTAATATGATCCAAGGTAACCTTGGTTTCTGTGGCTTCTGTTAATTGGCTTTTTCTTTTCTTTCTTTTGCTTTTGCTTTTGCTTAGCCACCACCTCATTTTCATTCCTCCTTAGGTGTGAGTGTGAAATTCCTGGGATTAGGAGCAGCTGTCCTCCAGATGTGCCATCTACAGACGGTGGAGCTCCCCCTGGCCTCCCCTCTCTGGGTGTGAGGCTTTGCAAGCCTTAGGGAGATTGCAGGAGGCATAAAGCAACCACCATGACTAGCCTGTAAAATGCTGGGCTCATTGCACAATTATCTTATCCAGTCTCCCATCTAGTCAATCTTCCCTGTAACCACAAAAACAAAGGAACATTATCCCTTTACGGGTGTAGAAGCTAAGGCTTAGAGCTAGTCCGAGGCAGAACCCAGACTGGTCTCACTCCAGAGACCATGATCCCACCGCCCGCACCTTGTTGGATGACCCTCTGTGCTCTTGTCCCTTAGGTAATTACGGCCTCCTTCCGCCGCTGCCTGCTGTCGGAGGGAACGAAGGTGTCGGACAGGTGGTGGCCGTGGGCAGCAACGTGTCTGGGGTGAAGCCAGGAGACTGGGTGATTCCAGCAACTGCTGGTTTGGGTGAGTTTCCCCACGTATCAGCAGCCTTTCATTCCAGATCTTATTTTGCCCACACTATAGAGATTTGCTCATCGGCTCAGCGTAACTAAGAGATGCAGGGCTTATTATTAAGTCCCTAACCCTTCCCTCCCCCCAGAGGGGTGGGAGCTGAACAAGGACCTGCTCTCCCATCTCCCCGGGCCAGTGCTGATGGGAGCTGTGATTGTCTGAATCCCTACATCCCTAAATTCCTGCAGAAAGATACAATGAGGAAGCAAGATAGCATCTGCCCTGCAGGAGGTTGAGGACTCATTGAAGAAACCTTCAAACCAATAAGCTCAGTAAAGGGAGTGCTCCAAGTTCCCAGGAAACAGAAGACACTGCTGGCTATGCTGTGCGCCTGCGCGTGGGAGAGAGAGAAGTTGTGGGGAGGGACCAGGGCTTCCTGGAGGAGGAGCATTGGAGCGTTGGTAGATGAATGCTGTTAGATGGAAATGAGCCACAGTGGTGGCATGTGGAGGAAGCAAATCAGCAAAAGCACAAAGCTGAGTTTGGGAAATGGCAGGCAATCCCGTGTGGCCTCAGCAGAGGATGTGCACCTGGGAGAGGGTAGGATAAATGAGACAGAGGGTCACAAAGTAATGGGGCCACATAAGGGAGGCCCTGAAAAAGCCACGTTGAGAGTTGGGGTCTTCTTTTACATATAGTAAGGAGTCATTGCCGAGCTATTCAACATTGATGGCTTTTGAGGCACAAACAATAGACAAATGGACCCTGACAGCAGCCACGGGAGGGAAGCAGGACCGATGTCATCCATCCAAGGGAACACATAAGGACCTGAAGCTTGAGAAGAAGCCCTGGCCCAAATTCAAACATCAAACTGAAGGAGAGCTCCCCAGGCTCTTGTCTCCTCTGGTAGGACTCTATGGGTATAACTTACAGAGAGTCAATCCACCCTTGCTGTACAGAAAAAAGTTAATCGGTGTGTGGAACTAGGGAGAACAAGAGATGGAAAGCGTCAGGCAGAGCTGGATCCCGGAACCCCAATGATATCAGAGCTCTGACTTCTTGTTCTTCTTAGTTTTCAGGTGGGATCTCCCCACACAGTGATGTGGTAATAGCAGCAAATATTATAGTTATTGACCACTCCCTTTCCACCAGGCACTTTACATATAGTAAGTCATCATTCCCCATTTTGCAGGGGAGACATTAGTAAATGTACAGAATGAAGCAACTTGCCCAGGGTCATCTAGCCAGTAAGTGGTGGGCCGAGACTCTAACCCACTCTGCCAGGTCCCTTGCATAGATGGCCTCCAGCTGCCGAGGTTTACATCATACTGAGAACAAACAGATAGCACGTTCAGCACAACCATATCCATCCCCCAGAAGGGCTCTCACCAACTCTGCCTGGGTCCCTGCCCATCCATGAACCCATCCCAAGGTCATGGGCTGGGCCACTCCAGTTGCTTAGTGGAGTCTGTTGCCCACCTCTGTGGTACAGAGGTTAGGAAGGAGTAGTTCTGGAAAGAAAAAGGTACCTGGCAGGGGGAAAAAAAAAATAGTAACAGAAGTCTATTAAGAAGCTGTTTGGCCGGGACCGGTTTGGCTCAATGGATAGAGCGTCGGCTTGGGGACTGACGGGTCCCAGGTTCGATTCCGGTCAAGGGCATGTACCTTGGTTGCGGGCATATCCCCAGTAGGGGGTGTGCAAGAGGCAGCTGATCAATGACTCTCTCTCATCGATGTTTCTAACTCTCTATCTCTCTCCCTTCCTCTCTGTATAAAGTCAATAAAATATATTAAAAAAAAAAAAAAAAAAAAAAAAAAGAAGCTGTTTGCTTCCCTGAGATCAGGAAAGCTGCCAAGACTGCTGCACCCTCTTCGACAGCCCTGACAGTGAAAGCATAGCAGCTTGAGCAAATTGAGGGCTGCGAGGATTCACCGGATATTGACTGGTGCCTTAGGCCAGCCCCCGTGCTGAGGGAAGGGCACACGTGGTGGGTCAAACAGTCTCTGCCTGCGAAGTGCTCGTGGCCAGTGCTAGTGGCCGGGAACAGAAAAACAGCACTAATACAATGCAGTGTGATAAGCGCTATAATCGCAGGAGGATGCAAAGGCAGGAGTCCCCTGTGGCGAGATGCTTTAGGGAAGGCTTCCCAGAGAAGTGCTGCTGGAACTGGGTCTGGAAGACTGAGTGGAAGTGCAGTCAGTGGGCCAGCGAAGTGGGGCGTCCCAGGAAGGGAGTACAGCACCTACAAAGGTCTGCAAAACCACAGGGAGCTCAGTTTGGCTGGGTCTGGGGAGGGATGGTGGAGAAGCAAGATGAGGCTGCAGAGGTGGGCTGCAGCCCGGCTGTGGAGGGCTCACATCCACGGTCAGGAGGGGCCGACGAAGAGTTGAGGAGGACTGGTTTGATCAGATCTGTGCAGTGCACAGAGTGATCAGGAACGGCAGGGGCCCCGTGGAGGCAGGAAGCAGTAAGGAGGGGGCTGAACATTCAGGCTGCAGATGAGGAGTGTCTGAAAAGACAGTTCCACGGGACTGGAGAAGACGGTGGATTTGAGAGCTCGGTAATTATGTTTGGAGAGAAGAACAAAGGACATCTGCCAGGTGTGCGGGTAATTTCATGGGTGGTGGCGGTGGTAGCCAGAACAGGGCTTTCTCCCTGGGGAAAAGGCGTGTCTTTCAAACCAGGTGCCAGTCAGAGAGGATGAGTATTTTATAATTATCAGGACTATAATTAGCTCGTTTATTCAGTAAACATTTTATGAACATCTGTAGTGGGCTGGGCTCTAGCATACAGCAGTGAACAGACATGGTCTCTCTTCTAGTTGAGATTCAGTTTACTAAGAGTGGCAATCAGTAGGCAGATAAGTCCTCAGCGGGCTGAATCTTGGTCATCTTTTCATGGTATGGAGCTGCTTAGCTGTTGCTGTGGCCATAGCCAGATTTTTTCCCACATGCAATCCAACTAGTCCCCAGGGAGACTTGGCCAGAGAATATGCGAACTAACTTTCTCACTGGAAAGACTGAAAACCCAGCCGAGGGAACATGGGGCTGGAGAAGGAGCCCTGGCCTGGGAATCAGATGCAGGTGCTCCTTCCACCTGTCCTGTCTGATCTTAAGTCACAACTACTTTGAGCCTCAGTTTCCTCATCTCTAAAATGGAGCTAGTAGCCGTTGCCTTGCATATCTCAGCTAACTCTTACGCAGCTCCACTGAGGCAATACATGCAGTGACCTTTGCAAACATTCAATTTCTCTATGCATTAGATCAGGGGTTGGCAAACCTTTTCTTAAATGGCAAGTTAGTAAATATTTTAGGCTTTGCAACCATCTACCTCTACTCAAGTCTGCCATTCTAAGTGGCCATAAACAAGACAAAAGAAGTGTGTCTGGCTGTATTCCAATAAAGCTTTATTTACAAAAACAGGCGGTGAGCCAGATTTGGCCCGTGGGCCATAGTTTGCCGACCTGCACTAGATGATGGAGATGGTTAAAGGTCCATTGCACATGTGTGAGGGATGGCTATCCTCAGAGCAAGAGCATGGGACTTAGGAACCAAGGGATGTTACGCACCTTCTGCATGCTAGGCACAGGGATAGTCTGTACAGATGCCATCACATTTCATCTTTACACTACAATGTGAATGTAATTCTCTGCATTTCATAGCTCAGGAAAGGTAGAACTCAAAGCAAGTGAAATGAGAAATTTAAATCACACCACTAGTGGGTGGCAGAGCTGGGCTTTTAAGCAGGTCTCTCCAACTCCAAAGCCCAAGGGTTTCACCTTTAAATCCCCTGGGCTGACCATGGGTGCTGTCTCCATCCCAGGTCCTCTTTTTTTATTTATTTTTTTTATTTTTTACCATATTTTATTTTATTTTATTAATATATCTTATTGATTTTTTTATACAGAGAGAAAGAGAGAGGGATAGAGAGCTAGAAACATCGATGAGAGAAAGTCATCGATCAGCTGCCTCCTGCACACCCCCTACTAGGGATGTGCCCACAACCAAGGTACATGCCTTTGACCGGAATCGAACCTGGGACCTTTCAGTCCACAGGCCGACACTCTATCCACTGAGCCAAACTGGTTTCAGCTCAGGTCCTCTTGAGAGGAGGATTAGGGACAGCCAGGCCCCAGGGGCTGAATTCCCATTGTCATACCATTAAGGGGAATTAGGAAATACCCTTGGTTTCATGCATTAAAGCCATACACTAAATGTTTGGCACAGAGCACAGTAAGTGATGGGTAAGATGAAGGGGGTGATGATGATGAAGAGGACAATGAAGATTTTAAAACCAGGCTGAGTGAAGCCCAGAGAATACCAAGGCACCTCCTGGATCCCAAGGGAACCCTTCAGATTTTTAGTCTCTTATTTTCTCAACCACAGACCTACTCTGGGATTGGCACAGCTTTTAATAGTGTTGCTGCCTCCCATCCCCAATTCCTGTTTCCTAGAGCTCACGTTGTTTCTCCCCTCCTGCAGCACACTTAGTAATCACCTGGGCTGCCCCCTACTCCCGGTACCTGGGACATGTGGTACCAGGATACTGTTTGAATGTCAGCAACTGGATGAGCGCACTCAATCGAGAGCTTTGGAAATGTAGGCCAAGGGCCCTGAGACAGCGCAGCCATCAGACACCGAGCCAGCAGGCTCCCAGTGGTTTCCCGAGGTCACCTAGCGAGCACTCGGCAGAGCCAGGGCTTCCATCTGCATCTGTCTGACTCCAGGGCCTGTCCTCTCCACCTCCGCTGTCCATGGGATCCTGCTGCATCGTGAGCTCCAGTCACCCTCACCCAGTGCCCGTCAACCCCTGTTGACTGATCTTCAACAGATAATTCGAATCCATCTACTACCCTCATCCTCATGGCCAAAGTCTTGGTCTAGGAATCATCATCTCTCATCTCAACTCCTGCAAAAGCCTCCTGATTGGGCCTCCACATTTCACTCTGTCCCTCGCCACCCAACTGTCTTTTCCTCACAGCAACACCGTGACTTAAAGCATAAATTCAATGGCCTCAGGGTTCTCTTAAAGCTCATTAGAAACTTCCCATTCACCAAAATAAAATCTGTTCTCCATGCCATGACCCTGAGAGGTATGGTTTTCACACTGCAGGTTCACCCATTAGCAAAATCAGTTGTGTCAGTGGCAAACAGAATTTTTTTTTTTTTTTTTTTTTTTTACTAAAATCAAGTAGAATAGAATAAAGAATAAGCCAGTAGGATAAATATTGTTCAATGAAAACATTTAGCTTCTGAGTTAGATATACACACACAGAAACGGATGACAGGTCGATAGATATTCGTATATGGATATGTACCAAGTTACAACATAACTCATGGTTCCTATGGGTCCAGATCATGAAATTCTATAAAACACTCCTTTACCCATGACACCTCAACCACCACTCTTCCCATCACTGTCCTCCAGTTCCACTCTTTTACCTGCTCTGCCTCAAAGTCTGCATGGGCTTTCTCCTCTGCCTGGGATGTTCTTGAGTGGTTAACATCCCTGTCCTTTAGCCCTTAGCATGTCACTTCCTCAGAGAAGCTGTCCCTCCCTGGCTGCTCTCTGAAGCAATCTCACCACTGTAACTGTCTCTCTATAATTTATAATTATTGCATTTTCTTTTTTGTTTCCCACTTGTTCTACTCCACTAGAAGGAAGGAGGCTCCTTGGTGAAGGAATGTGTCTGTTGTGCACGTGTCTGGCTCTAGCAGGTGTGGGGCAGGTATCTGTGGCTGGAAGGGGACAACTCACTCCCTCCATTTCCCTCCCCCGTTCCCTCATTGATGAGGAGGTTAAACTCAATTCTCTGAAGGGTCTTCTTAGTACTGACATTTTCCAGTTCTTTTGTCTGGAACTGAAATGTGGGCTGGGATTCTGATTAGTCATTTCTCTCCAGTGTACAGGATTTTTTCATTACCCTTAAAGCATTTTTGATTTGAGCAACAGCTCTCGGAAGAGGCCTGTCAGGCTTTTCTTGCCAGTGTCACTTATATATTAGAGTAACCGAAATTCAAGTGACAAGGATTTGCTCAAGCTCACAGACTAACAAAACCTGGTCCCAAATCTAGGCCTTTGACTTTGACTTTCATGCTGTTTCCCATAATCCCATCCCAAGACAGGCCTGCGCTAGGTGAGAAGGAGGAGAACCGAGGAGGAAAATGAGGGCTTCTTTTTCTCATCTTCTTGGTTGATGATACTATCTTACCCTCAGAGTCCAATAGTTTGAGATCCTTAGTTACCTGCTGGCTGACATTAGCTAAATCTAATGGTAACTACCGTGGGAATAACAAAATCTACACCTTACTTATTATCGTGAGGATTCAGAGACATTCCAAAGGACTTCGAGATTTCCTTTGTTCGCTAAGCATTCTTTGAAGCCTGCTGTCCTAGGTACCCATTTACTGAGGAGGGTGGGCTGGGGTTGAGTGTGGAGAGGGATTCCACACTGCCCTGAACTTATCTCTTGACTCAGGAACCTGGCGGACTGAGGCTGTGTTCAGCGAGGAAACTCTGATCAGTGTCCCGAGTAACATCCCTCTTCAGAGTGCTGCCACCCTGGGTGTCAATCCCTGCACGGCCTACAGGATGCTGAAGGACTTTGAGCAGCTGCAGCCTGGTAAGAACCTACAGGGGGGGAGGGCCAGGCCAGGATCTCCAGACTGGGACCCCAATCCTGACCCGAAGGCCACAGGAACTTCCAGGAGAGGAAGAGGGGGCCCTAACCTGGGTGAATGTGTTGCTGCTTTTGCTCAGAAAGATGGTAGCTTGGTTCCTAGAAAAGATGCTGAAACCTCATGAGGAATACATTCTGGAAAACTGTTGAAGGATCACATTCCCAGAGCTTGGGATGGAATTCTGTCATTCAGCGAAAATGTATCGAGCTGTACTAAGCTCTGGGGATACAAAGCCAGACAAGATAGACAGTCCTTGTGTTTTCAGTAAAATGCTGAAGTAGTAATTCCTCTCAGCGTTCCTGTAGCACTTTCCAGTTCACACGAGTGCCTTTACAGGCGTTGCCACATTGAATGCCTCAAATCGTCAAAGCAGTGCGGGGAGGCTGGTACCATTGGTTAAAAGCTGACCTCTCAAATCACTAGGGTTTGTTTGTTTTTTAATCTGTAAAACAGAGAATAGGAATTCTGAGGGTTAGCTGAAACATTGCAATGTGACACTTAGCACAGGGCGTATAGTGCAGTAACCACACTGCTTTTCTTTCTTCCCTTTTTTTTTTTTTTTTAATATATCTTATTGATTTTTTACAGAGAGGAAGGGAGAGGGAAAGAGTTAGAAACATTGATGAGAGAGAAACATCAATCAGCTGCCTCCTGCACACCTCCCACTGGGGATGTGCCCGCAACCAAGGTACATGCCCTTGACCGGAATCTATCTAACCTGGGACCTTTCAGTCCGCAGGCTGACGCTCTATCTACTGAGCCAAACCGGTTTCGGCATCACACTGCTTTTCTTACCCTTTCTTTTATAAATGAAACTGGGGTCCAGAGAGGTAAATGATTTGTGTGAGATCATTTAGCAAGGAAGTGACAAAACCAGGTGCTTTATTTGGGGTTCCTTGGGAGCAGAGTCTGAGACAAGGACAGGGGCATGCAGTTCACTGAGGGGGTGGTCCCAGGAAGCGGGAGTGAGGGAGTGGAGAGTGAGTCAGGGAAGAAGCCAGTGAAAGCTGTTTGCTGCTGTGGGCGAAATGGGAGTCCTGTTGGGAGCCCTCTAACGACCCTCATAGAACCCATATCAGAACTAACCTCAGCGACAGCAGGTTACCCACCAACACTCATGGCCCATTGCACACTATGCATTACTCCCCCAACCCCACCCATTGACTAGTTCCAAATTCAGGCCTGGGCTTCGGCTCCTGTTTCAGGGGCTGCTAGCTTCTCCAGTGTGGCTCTAATCCCATTTCAAGGCAATGCGCCTTGATTGAGCAGTACAGAGAAGGGAATACGGCATGGCCTTCCCCTCCAGCTCCAAGCCCTTGATACACTCAGACCCATATACAGCCAAGCATGCGATGAGGCAGCCCATGTTGCTCATACAGATGCCTGCAGAGTGCTGCGGGAGCAGTGCGAAGAGTCTGGAAAGGCTTCGTGAAGGAAGCCACACTCAAACTGCGCTTCAAAGGGTTTCAGTAGGATTTCACAACGAAAGGAGAAAGGAAGAGGCAAGCATTGCACACCAAGGAAATAACCTAAGCAGAGACTTGAGGACATACAAATTGGAGGATGAAGGACAGGAACTCATTTACATAGGAGGGTTTTTCTACGTTATGTCTACTGTAGACACTGAGTGGCCAAGACTTAGGTGGGAGTGTGGGTGTTGTGGAAGTTGGGGCGGGGGAGAGGAGGCATTGGGAGAAGATTGAGCAACACTCCAAGGTCTGAGAAAGCCCAGCAGCCAAGCCCCACGTCCTCTGGGAGCCTAAGCACGCCATCTCTTCCTTATATAATAGGGTCTCAGGCTGGAAGCCTTTGACCTATTACAGGTCTCCAGGACTTGACTTGAGTCTCTTCCTGGCTCCACAGGAGACTCTGTCATCCAGAATGCATCCAACAGTGGCGTGGGGCAAGCAGTCATCCAGATCGCCGCAGCCCTGGGCCTGAGGACCATCAATGTGGTCCGAGACAGGTGCGTGGGGAGCCAGTATCCCAGATCCTGAATGCGTGTCGCATCTCTGCGTGTCCACCAGATGGCGCCCTTGCATAAGCAGGCCTTCTCTCTGGGCAGGACCCAGCTCGCTCACAGACAGGTGTCAGCCTTGAGAAATGAAGTCCAGGTGGCTTTTGACTCCTTCTATAATTTTTGTAACACTGAGTACCCCTCGTACTCATGAGAACGTAGAATTAGGCACAGCTAAGCACGGTGCAGTGCATATCCCCACCCAACTCCGGTGCAACGCGTACCCCCACCAACCTCTTCCCGTACCCCTGGGGGTACGCGTACCACACTTTGGGAAACACCGGATAGGATGAGTGAGTCTTTGAAATATAAAGGGAAAATGGAAGGTGGAAACGGCAACTAGAAGTATTTGAAACTGGGCTTGTGATAATGTGTGGGTTTTTTTTCAAAACCAGCGTTCATATTTGGGAATGTTTTAAGCTGTGTTATTGTTTGTGAACCGTCTAACCCAGGGCCCTTTTCTCCCCTTGTATTTGTGTGGTACTTGGAAGGAGATGAGCAGGTTTGCCATCTCTGTTTCACAGATGAGGAAACTGAAGTTTCAGAGAGAGGAGGCAACTTGCTCAGGGAGTCACAGCAAGTCGGTAGCAGACTTCATGTCCTGACTTGTTCTCTTTCCCTCACAGCATCGTTTCCTCGAGCCTCACTGTCCACGAGCGTGGCCATGTCTGTCGGAAGTCCAGTCTTATTAGGATACTTGATTCTCCCTTCAGTTCTCTGTCCCCTCGATTGTGCTAACAAAAACCATTGTTTCCCTTGGCCAAGGAGCCCCTGAGCCACTCCTGGGCTGGCGTGTGTTTGCACAACTCTCTGAAGAGCCCCTTGAAAAGGCGGAGGGAGAGGGACGGGCAGAAAGGAAGTGGAGTTTGTCGTGTCAGTAGAAGAAATCAGGACGTGAACTGCCTTTTCCCAGGGCACAGATGGTTCCCAGCATCCCTGAGCTGGCAGGAGCTGTACAAACCACCCAGCCCAGCTCTCTCATGCCAGGGAGGAAACTGAGGCCCAGAGACTGATGAAACTCCGTGGTCAGGCCCTGCTTGAGGATCCAGCTTACACTGGGTCCCAGCTTCCCACAAAGAAACACGTTGTCACAGCTGTGGCCGAGCAGTCCCGGGGCCTTTGGTGGAGAAAGTGAGCCGATGTGTCTGAGGCTTGTGTTTGGTTTCCAGACCTGATCTCCAGAAGCTGAGCGACAGACTGAAGAAGCTGGGGGCCGAGCAGGTGGTCACAGAAGAGGAGCTGAGGACGCACGAGATGAAAAACGTCTTTAAGGTACCCAGGATGAGGGGCGCTGCGCCCCCATTCCTGCTCACCCCCCTGAAGAAAGATGACTTGAACTAGAAAAGCTGGGGACTGGCTCCATCGCCCCTCTTCACATCTTCCCTTGTCTCTTTGTGGGGGATAAAGGCCGCCCCTCAGCCAGGGGCAGCATGCAGTGAGCGCCCAGGAGCTGCGAGAGAGGCAGGAGGCCTGCGGCTTGCAGTTTTGAGTGTTTGTGATGGGCCACATCAGTCCACACAGCCGATGTGAATCTCAGCGCTGGGGGCGAGCTGAGGAAACTGAGGTACAGAAAGGAAAGAGAAAAAAAGAAGCAACAGTTCCTGGGTACCTACCTTCCATTTTATCAGAGAATCCCACAAAAGCTCTACAGAGTAGGTGCTATCTATTTTGTAGATGAGGAAACCCAGACTCAAGAAAGATAAAGAATTTGACCAAGACCACACAGTCTTTCTCCCCCCACCCCCCATTTTTTTTTGGTAAGGTATTATATGTGTGCATATCTTACCATTGCTCCCGCCCCCACTCCCATACATGCCCTCACCCTCCAGAGTTTTGCTTCCATTGGTTAGGCTTATATGCATGCATACAAGTCCTTCGGTTGATCTCTAAGACCACACAGTCTTAAGTGGTGGAGTCAGAGCTGGCCCCAGTCTCTCTGAACTCCTAGCCCCAGAACCTTCCAGAACCTCCACTCCCAGCACACCTAGTAAGTGACCACACCACATCTCAGCCTCTTTTCACTGAACTCTGGGGCGTCCAAACACACACACTCCCTCAAGAACACACCCTCTTGAGAACATTGCGGAAGCAGTAGGTCTAATGTAAACTGAGCTCAAAGTCCCAGAAGGGAAAGGAAGTCCTTGGAAATGGGTTGTAGGGACCCTCAGTGCATTCTTTCCCAGAGGTGAGTTCTGAATGAAATCCTCCAACAGAGACCAGGACGAGGCTGGTAAAGGCCATTCCAGGCAGGGAAGAAAGAGTTGTAAGGCAAGAACATCCCATCTTCTTCACCCCCTCCTTCTGACACGTGGGCCTGGGAGGTGCTGGCCCTAGCAGCTTCAAACCCCACCGTAGAGTGGGAGCCCCCTCACTGCAGCTTCTTTGTCTTCCAGGACATGCCTCAGCCACGGCTCGCTCTCAACTGTGTCGGCGGGAAAAGCTCCACGGAGCTGCTGCGGCACTTAGCGTAAGTCCCTCGGCCCTGCAGGTCCAGATCGCCCGGGCTCTCCGGGCCTTGAGCTGGGAGGACCCTCAGGTGAACAGTCCCAGAGGCCAGTGCAAGCCGAGCCGAGGCAGGTCAGCAGGAGCCTGTGTGGGAAACTGGGGCCAAAGTCAAGTCCTGCCTAGGCCTCTGGGCACTTCCTTTCCCAGCCGCCTTCACCACAGGTGACTGAGAGCCCAACCAGCTGTGTTTTCCCAAGGGACCAGCTCTGTTTGTCTCTGTGATGGGGGGATGGGTAAGGATTCACAACCTAAGGGCATCTTAAAAAATCACTTAGTCCTAGCTTATTTGCTTTTACATTTTTTATTAGTTTTTAAAAATAGATTCTAATTTTAGAGGTAGCATGATATATGTTATAAAACATTTGAAAGACTATAAAAGTACAAGGGAAGCCGAGACCGGTTTAGCTCAGTGGATAGAGCATCAGCCTGGCGGACTGAAAGGTCCCGGGTTCGATTACGGTCCTTGGTTGCGGGCACATCCCCAGTGGGGGGGGGGTGCAAGAGGCAGCTGATCAATGATTCTCTCTCATCGATGTTTCTAACTCTCTATCCTTCTCTCTTCCTTTCTGTAAAAAATCAATAAAATATATATTTAAAAAAAAAAAAAGAACAAAGGAAAACTGAAAGAACAGAGGTTGCCTATCATCCCACTGCTGAGGGGGATACGCACCGGGGACAGTTAACAGTGCGTGTCCTCCCATTCTCTTCCCCTTTCACGGGAACTCCTCTGAATCCCCTAAGCTATGAGTTAACACGTATTTGCTAGCCCTCACTAGCGTGGGGATATAGAGATGGCTAGAACGCACGAGCTAGATGGGAAGGTGGGTCATATGATTAAAGAGCTGTGAAAACAATGGGAGTTCACCATGCACTGAACTCTGTGCAGAGAGCTTGAGGGACCCCTTCCACAGCCTCCTAGGCCAAGGGTACTAATCCATCCCCATTTGTACAAGGCTCAGAGGGGGTACCCTCCCACCTACCCAAGGTCTAGGAAGGAGGAGAGCCGGGCTCAGCCCTACTCTGGGCAACCTCCAAGGCAAACTGCAATCCCATGCCACTCGTTGGCGGAGGAAGTTGGTGATCTGGACCAATGTCAATGCCGTGCCCACAGTCGCATGCCTGTAAGTGGAGTGGAGCCAGACTGAACTCAGGCCTTGAGCTCTTCTCAGGAGAGCACGCTTCTTTGCAGCAGCTCATCAGAGCCTCCCTGGGTGGCTGTATCAGCAAGTTCCCATCCCTGCCTAAACATCCAGGTCATCTGGAGGGGGATAGGTCATTGGTTCTGGGGTTGGGCCTAGGAACCTGTATTTTGGACCTTCCCAGGGATTCTGAAAGCAAGGTTTAGGCCTTAGGGTTGCAATAGAAGCACTGTGGCAGGTTCCGGAAGGACTCCGGATCTGCCTGCACCCATTCCGTTCTCTGACTTTGCAGACCTGGAGGAACCATGGTGACCTATGGAGGGATGGCCAAGCAGCCTGTCATCGCGTCTGTGGTAAGCTGGTGGTGGGGAGAGGGGGCGGCCTGGAGATGGCCCAGACCCCACAGTTGTATAAACTCGGGCAGTTCCCCTGTCCCTCGGGCAGTTCCCCTGCCCTCAGAGCCCCAACATGCCCTCTGTATCCACAGAGCCAGCTCATTTTTAAGGATCTCAAACTTCGGGGCTTTTGGTTGTCCCAGTGGAAGAAGGACCATAGTCCAGGTGAGTGCATGATGACCCTTTGCCAGGAGTCACACAAGAGGGCAGTGCCTCTGCAGAAGTGACCAGCCTCTCTGAGCACTAGATGGGTGATTAGACCCCAACAGGACAAAGGAGAACAGCCTCTAAGCTACAGTGAGCAAAGTTATTGGACCGAAGTGGGCTAGTTCTTGGAGCATAACATTGAGCAAGGCACACACCGCCCTCTCCCTTGAAGATCTGGCCGTGGAGAAGACCGCCACGGGAGACGACCAAGTGAAGGAAACCAGAGCTGCAGCCAGCCTGCCTGGTCCTGCCATTGCTGCCTGTAGGCTGTGCCTCGCCTCGCTGTGGGACCTGCACACGTTACTTAGCCTCTGCCTCAGTTTAAATGTCACAATAGTTTCATTTGGCAAAAGAGGAAACAGGTTCAGAGTGGTTAAGTCACTTTCCCAAAGTTACCCCAGCTAGGGAGTGTGCAGCCAGGATGTGATCAGCTCGTCTCTCTGACTCCAGAACCCGAGCTCTTCCTCTCCTGGAGGCCTGGTCCCCAGACAGGACTTCCAGCTGAGACTGAAGAATGCGGGGTTACCCACGTGAAGGAGAGGAAAGTGGTGGCATGAATGGGGTGTTCCAGGTAGAGAAACCAGCATGTGCAAAGCCCATGAGAAAGAGTGGGGAGGCAGACAGATTGGTTATAACCACGTTATAAAAGGAGGCCGTATGTCTTTTTAAGGAATTCAGACTCTATCATAAGGCAGTTATGGAGCCATTGAAGTGTTCTAAGCAGGGTAGATATGATGGGATGTGAATGTTGAGTGAATTGACATGTTGAGAGAAGAAAAAACACTTCTCAGACAAGGCCTTCATTTCTTATCTTCCTATACCGTAGTGGGCCCTTGGGCCTCAGCTCAAAGGGTTCTAAGGGAGTCCTGGTCTCCTTTTCCTGAGCAAAGCTCATCTATTCCACATCAGTTGTGCCAGGCACACCCAGCTCCCTCCCTGCACCCCTTCTGGCTTCCCTGCCTAGCGTAATCCTACCCCTCCCACCATTCAGACTCCAGGTTACACCCGAGTCAGGTTCTGTGGGTCTGAGCCACCACGCTGCCTGCCCATCAGTTCCTGGGGCCACTCCCCATGTCCCTCTGTCCCCAACCTGGTTCTCCCTGACATGAAAACAGGTGGGGACCAGGCAGCCTCCACAGCCCGCCTCTCTGTGGCCAAGCCCTGGGCTCTCAAAGACTTCCCTGGGGCTCTGCACCAGCGGAGGTGACGTGCCATCTCACCAGGCCCTGCTGCTGCTGCACCCCTGTCTGACTTCCTCCACCCTCCCACAGACCAGTTCAAGGAGCTGATCCTCACTCTGTGCGACCTCATCCACCGAGGCCAGCTCACGGCTCCCGCCTGCTCCGAGGTCCCACTGCAGGACTACCAGTGTGCCTTGGAGACCTCCATGCAGCCCTTCCTGTCTTCAAAACAGATTCTCACCATGTGATAATCCCAAAGGAGCCAGGGCGGAGTCCATCCACAGGTCTGGTTTGGGCCCCTTAGTCTGGGCCCTCAACCTTCCCAGACTGCACCTCTCCTCGCTGTCACTTCCCACTAGGCTTTCCATAGGGCTGGCCTCTGGGTATCTAATAAAGTCTGAACTTCCTGAAAACTAACAAACAAAACCTATAGAGGTCATCCCTGTTGAGAAGGACCGTCCCTGCGCCTGCCACTTCCCAGGATTTAGCAGCTCCTGCTGCCTCGCCTCCATTTGTGCCCCAGCGGTCATCTCCTGATGGCCTGAAAGCAATGCCAGGGTGGGCCTGGCAGGTACAAAAGCCAGTGAAATGCAATCCCTCAAGCTGTCTAAGCCCACAGAGGAGAATCTTCTAAAAGGGAAGGTCACCTCATCCTCAGTGGTGCATGGCTCAGTCTGGGCAGGGGGAGTGAATGCCAGCCTGAGGAACTAAGGAAATGTAGGCTTAGGTAGCTGGACCACCCCCACGGAATGTCCATTCTAACTGGGGAACTAGGAACTAGCCTCCAGGGGACATTTGATAATTATCTGGAGGCATTGTCATAATTGAGAGGGCGCTGCCTGCATCTAGTGAGGAGTCAGTGATGCTGCAGTGCACAGAGCGGCCTCCCTCAACTAAAATTATCCAGTCCAGTCCTAGCCAGTTTGGCTCAGTAGATAGAGCTTCAGCCTGTGGACTGAAAGATCGCAGATTCGATTCCTGTCAAGGGAATATACCTTCGTTACAGTCTCCTCCCTGGCCCAGGCCCTGGACGGGGCTCATGCAGGAGGCAACCAATCAATGTGTTTGATGTTTCTCACATTGATGTTACTTGCTATCTTTCTCTCTTCCACTCTCTCTAAAATGCAATGGGAAAATAACCTCAGTGGTTGAGCATTGACCTATGAACCAGGAGGTCACAGGCCTGGTCAGGTCAAATGCTCAGATTGCAGGCTGAATACCCGATCATATAGGAGGCAGCCAATCAATGATTCTCTCTCATCACTGATGTTTCTATCTCCCTCTCCCTTCCTTTCTGAAATAAATTATATATATATATATATATATATATATATATATATATATATATATATATATAATGGAACAGCAGTGAAGTCATCAGAGCCTGGGTCCTTGACACCCAGCAGCCCTGATTGCCCACTCAGAACTTGAGAAATAAGTTTTACTTAAGAAATAAGCTTCTAGGCCTTGGGTAGGTAGCTCAGTTAGATCGAATATCGTCCTGACACCAAGGTTATGGGTTTGCTTTCTTGTCAGGGCACATACAAGAATCAACCAATGAATGCCTAACCAGTTGTGGCACAACAAATTGATGTTCCTCTCTCTCCCTGCCTCCCTTCCTCTCTAAAAACCATTTTTTTTTTTTTAAAAGAAAGAAGCACTAAACTTCTATGTTATTTAATCCCTTACTGTTTGGGCTTTCTCTGAACCTAATCATAACTGCTACATATTCTATGATTCAATTTATATTGGAATGAAGTTAATCAATCTGAAGCTGAAAATGAGAATTGTGGCATTTTGTAATTCCCAGCTAAGGAAAGTGGACTTTATCCCATTGGCAGGGAAGAAAAAAAAAAAAGATTTCTGAGCCAGAAGGTCAAACTGTACTTCAGAAAATTCCCTCTGGCAGCAGGTTGGGGGAGAATTTGGAGACAGGAGACACTAAAGAAAAAATTAGAAATTCCCATGCTTCTAAATTTTAGATAAGTAAAATCTTCCTAAATTTTTAAAGACCAGCATAGAAATTACCATCACTTAAGAGGCCAGCAGAGGGAAGGAGGCTAAGACAAAACAATGTCAAAAGAGAATCTGACTTTATTTTTTTTATTTCTTTATTGATTAAGGTATCACATATTTGTCCTCAACCCCCCATTCCAATCCCCCACCCCTCACCCCACTCATGCCCTCACCCCCCTATTGTCCTTGACCACTGGTTAGGCTCATATGTGTGCACATAAGTCCTTTGGTTGATCTCTCCCTTTTATTCCCACCCTCCCTTTGAGGTCCAACAGTCTGACCCATGGCTCCTTATCTCTGGGTCTGTTCTTGTTCATCAGTCTGTGTTGTTCACCATTTCCCCTAGATGAATGCGATCATGTCCTACTGGAAAAAATCTGACTTTAAATGGGTCATTTCTCCCATACTTTGCAAGAGCAGGAAGTCGTTATTAATTTTCAGGCTGAATAATCTCTGTGGGGTTGGGACAGCTCTTCTGGCTCACCACGTCAACAATACCATTTTTAATCTGAAGGAGGAACTTTGGCTTCCGGAGACAAAGAAGACAGACCGGCCCTAGCTCCTAAACCAAAGTTTGGGCACACCTAAAGCCCAGAGGCCTGGTGACTCCGCTCTCTGTGGTGGTTTCCGGGAGCACTGACCCCGTGACCATCGACAGCCGCTGCTGTAAAGTTGATGACCGCCTTGTGTCTTGGGAGATGAGATAATTAAGCCTGCTTTCCTCAGGGAAAGACTGAGGCTCAGAAGAAAAAGGTTTTTGCATCCACCTGTGTATGCCACGTGTCCCTATCCCTGTGCCTGGAAGGTGTCAGCAGTACCCACCAGCCACACGCTCATTGGCGAGTGCCACGTCCTGGGTAGGACACTGGGCCCAGCCAGAGCAGCTGGAGATGGTAGAAAAGAGAGACTCAATCCTGGCCAAGTATCTGCCTTCATCCGATGGCAGGAAACTGCTGGGAAGGTAAGTGGGGAGGACACTGCCACCTCCCGAAAGGGAAGAAAGTTTCCCCTATGTCCCTGGCCCTCTGCAGTGTACAAGCAAGTTGAAGTGCTTCATTTGATTTTTACAACTCCCCTCTATCATGGAGATGTTAATATCACCACTTTACAGAGAGGAGGATGCTGAGAGAGGTGAGGTGAGTTGCTCAAGGTCACAGCAGACCTTGTCCAGGTCCTCTGGCCCTGTCTGGTCACCAAATCAGTCAGTAGGAGGGCCTTGAGCTCTCTCTTTTCTCAGAATTCCTTGATTTTGTTCAATGATAATATTTCGATCAGAAGAATTCAAATTTCTCTGAGTCTATGTCTCATGGGGAGGCATGGGGGGAGGAGAGAAGAGGGGAGGAGAATCAGGAGGCCAATGAAGTAGTCCAGAATCCACGCACTGGTGGTCCAGGAGGTCTGAAAGGTTGGCGACCGCTGGTTTAAGGAAACCTTTGGAGCAGTGGTCGCCAACCAGTGGCCCACAGACCACTGTGGTCCGAAAGGTTGGTGAGCACTGGTCCAGATCATTCATGAATCTATTCAGGTCTCTCCACTCCCACTTATTAAGGTGGTTCACACACCAAGGCTTTTAAGCATGCCACATGGAATATGGCCTGGCTCTTTATTCAGGCTTCCGACTTTCCTTGTCCTCCTTATCCCAAGTACAGGCGCCCCTCCGCGCATGCGCAAACACACACACACACACACACACACACACACACACACACACACACACGGATAACCATTCATTCAGTAAATATTCATTCTGAACACCCATTATGTGAAAAAGCCCTGTTGTAGGTGCTAGGGATAAAGCAGGAGACACAAAAACATGGCCCCTGATACCAGGGAACTTACAATCTTTAATATATTATCAGTGAGGGAGAGAGAGTAATTAACTGAATGCCTCCTACATGCCTATACTGAGGATTGAGCCTGCAACCCAGGCATGAGCCCTGATCAAGAATCAAACTCTGGCACTCAACCAGTAAGCCACACCAGCCTGGCAGAGCTTATATGCTAGTGGAGGAGAAAGTGAACAAGCGAATAAAAGTAATTAGAGTATGATAAGTGCTGTGGAGAAAAAAAGTGATATCTTACTATGTGTGTGGGGGAGGGAGTCTGGGAAGAGGGCTGTTCTTGGGATAAGGTGGGGAGGGAAAGCCTGAGGCCTGAATAAGCCAGGCCATGTTCCAGACATAGGGTGCAGCATTTCAGAACATACTAAAAAGCCTTGGTGTGTGAACTAGCTTACTGACTGGGAATGGAGACACATGAATAGATTCATGAATAATTCGTGAATATGTAGAAGGAAAAATCAAAAGGACAGACAGAAGGTACTGTTTGAAGGTTGAACTCTGGCACTTTGCTGGTTACAGGAGCCTCTCCTGGAGTTGGAAAACTCCAGAGGAGAACAGATTTTGAAGACAGGACTTTCCCCTTCGGGGCTGTTTCCCATCTGTACAATATTACATGACAACCAAGGTTCTTTTTTTTCTTTTCTTTTCTTTTTTTTTTTTTCTTTTTTTTTACAGAGAGGAAGGGAGAGGGATAGAGAGAAACACGAGAGAAACATTAATCAGCTGCCTCCTGCACACCCTCTATGGGGAATGTGCTCGCAACCAAGGTACTTGCCCTTGACTGGAATTGAACCTGAAACCTTTCAGTCTGCAGGCCGACGCTCTATCCACTGAGCCAAACCGGTTTCAGCTCAAGATTAGTTCTTAATATGATCCTCACACTTTATTAAACTCCAAATGGATCAAAGATTGCAATACAAAGATAAGCCCTCAAAGTAACAGAATAAGCCAAAACTTTGATTTGATTCCAATCAAATAAGGTTTGATTCCAGTCAAGGGCATGTACCTTGGTTGTGGGCACATTCCCAGTAGGGGGTGTGCAAGAGGCAGCTGATTGATGTTTCTCATCAATTTATATATATATATATATATATATATATATATATATATATATATATAATTTTTTAATTGATTTTTTACAGAGCGGAAGGGAGGAAGATAGAAACATCAATGAGAGATTCATCAATCAGCTGCCTTTTGAACACTCCCTACTGGGGACGTGCCCGCAACCAAGGTACATGCCCTTGACCGGAATCAAACCCGGCACCCTTCAGTCCACAGGCCGACGCTCTATCCACTGAGCCAAATGGGTTTCAGCTCTCATCGATGTTTCTAACTCTCTATCCCTCTCTCTTCCTCTCTGTAAAAAAAAATCAATTATATGTATATAAAAGTAACAGAATAAACCATGGAGGGCGGTTAAAAAATTAAAAATGTAAAACTCAGAGTGAGGAAGGCCTTTCAAACTACAGCACAAAATTCAGAATCAAAGGAAAATAAATGGATAAGTTTGATCCCATGTTTTTGCATGACAAAATAACACTAGGCAAAAAAAAGTCAACAGGCTAGGGAAAAAATATTTGCAACTCATTTGACAAAGAGCTGATTTCCCTATTATATTGTGAGCTCCTGTGAAAATATAAGAAAAATGGTCAAAAGATAAAGTAAATATGTTTCTCTAAAACATGAAATAAGGCTTACTCCACTCAAAATAAGATTTCAATTTACACTACCCAAGCTACCATTTTTCAGTTATCAGGTTGACAAAGATCATAAAGTTTGATAATAGTGTTAAGGAGATGAAGAATTGAGCAATAGCTATCAAAACTACATTTCCTCACACCCTTTGAATACTTCTAGGAATAGATTCTACATATATGTATATACCAAGTTACACTGCAACCGTCATAACAAAATGTTATCTCAATGCCCTTCACTCGGGCACTGATAAGATACTGTACAAATACCATGAACCATAAAAGTAGTCCTGGAGAAGCTCCTTTTGTTCTCTTATGGCGTGATTTTCAAAGCACCAAATGGTGTTGAACTATCTGTACACCACCATTTGCTTTACGTGTGTAAAATGCCCCAACGCACATTTAAGAAACTGACCATCTGTATTATCTCTGGAGAGGGAAACTAGGCAACCAGAGGAGAGATGGGAAGACTTTTCATTGTATATCGCTTGAATCAGTTCATGAATTACAGTTGCAAAATATTTTTTTAAAAATAAATACAAACAGGAGGAAAAAACGGGGTTCTAGGTAAACTGGGTTAGTGAGAAGGGGACCAATGTTTACTGAGCTACCACGTTCCAGATTCTTTTCCAAGCTCTTCCGCATACACCACCCCATTTAGTTATGCTGGTATTCCACTGAAGTGGGATAATTATTCTAATTTTACAAGTTATAAAGTAGGTTAAATTGGCCAGGTTATGTAGTCAAGGTCAAGCCTAATCTGGCTCCAAAGCCACACGGCTCCTATTGAAGCAAACTGTCCTCTTTTAAATCATATTGGTGCTATTTACTTGGCACTGATGACGTGCCGGGGCCAGTACACAGTGCTTTACGTAACAATTCTCAAGACAACTCGGGAAGGCTGGCACTCCTATCCCCTTTTACAGAGAAGACAAGTGGCCACGGGGAGCCAAGGTCACAGATACAAGCGGGTTTAACTCCAAAGCTCCAGCTCTGACACCACTCCCAGCTCCAATGACAAAAACGTGGGTGCCCGGCGGGCTGGTGAGGAAGTGCAGGCACTTCCGCCGAAAGGGCAAAGCCGGCGGCGGTAGGCGCCGCAGGCCTCGCGCCGGCGAGCTCGCGAGAGGACGTGCCGGGGCGCGAGGCCCCCCGCACCGCTAGTGCGCCGATCCATCACCTGGCCCCGCCCCACGCCTGCGCGACCCCAGGCAAGTCCCGCCCTCCCCGCGGCTGGGCGGGAAGCGGACGCGCGTTCCCTCCCGTTACCCCCCCCCCCGCCTGCGGGGAGGGCGGGGGAGACGGGAAGCGCGCGCCCGTGAGGTGCGTGCTCGCGTACGTCGCTCGGGTTCGGCTGCGTCGGTCTCGTCGCCCGCCCGTTGCCGCCGTCGCCGCTGCAGCCGTCGCCGCGATCTCGTTTCGCCGGCCGCCGCCTCAGGGGGCTGGGGCCGGGCCCAGCTGCCGCCGCTGCCGGGATGCCGCGGGTGTACATCGGCCGCCTGAGCTACCAGGCCCGGGAGCGCGATGTGGAGCGCTTCTTTAAGGGCTACGGGAAGATTCTGGAGGTGGACCTGAAGAACGGGTGAGGAGGGCGCAAGCGGGGGCCGCCCGGGTGGGGGCAGGGCCCCGGCTGTGGGGGGGGAAGCGGCGGGGACGGGAGAGGGACGCGGGGACGGGAGAGGGACGCCAGCCCGGGGCGAAGCCGCTGCCGGCGCGCTCCGGCTCCGCCATAGTCGCGGCGCCTCGGGGGCACGGGTAGGCCCGGGCTCCCACTGCGCCTGCGCGGGTGGGGGTGGTGGAGGGAAATGGGAGCAATGGTGAGGCTGCGAGTGGGACGGGGGGAAGGAAAACGCGAGTGAGGTTGGGCTCCAGGCGGGAGGGAGTGCACAGCTTCAGGGCGCCGAAGAGGCCTGGGATTTTCCCTCCGGGAAAAAACTGGAGCTCGGTTTTGCTCCGGCGGAGACCGACCTTCCCCGCTCTCTGGCTGCTGGACACAGACAGGATCTCCTGCCCCTTCCCACTCACCTCTTCCCAGTCCAACGAGTCCCACGGTCACGGCGCATCTTCCCCGGCGCCGGACGCTCCGGAGAGGCCTTGTTTAGCCTCGCCATGCGCCGCACTCTTTTTGGGCGGGAGACTCCGGGTTGAGTATTCTAGTGACAGTTTCCAAAGTATCGTCTTGCGGTGCTGAAAGCCTTCGCCGCTCCCTCCGCAGGGGTAAATTAACGTCTTAACTCGTTATCTGTAAGACTCCGTACGGTTTCCAGTCTGTGGTTTCTGTTCTCCAGCTTGCCAAAAAAAACGGCTTTGTCGTTGTAGAATTTGTTGGAGAAAGTGGCCCCCCAGGCCAGTATGTGCGTCAACCAGCTGATATAGACGGAGACCACAGCTCACTGCCCCCGGGGTGTGTGGTCTCTTGTATTCCTTATCTATATTGGCCGAGCAGGGCCCGCAGGGTCTACACGTTTCAGGGAAAACAGCTGAGGAATAGGGTCTGGAGAATATATTCAACAGAAAAAAAAAAAAAAAAAAAAAAAACTATCAGAGCCAGGAAATTTAAGTAGGACTTCAAAGAAATTAGGAGTAAGGGAAACATTTTAGAGTCCTGAATCTTGGTGTTAAGAGGGACTCTGGCTTTTTTTTTTTTTTTTTTTTTTTTTTTTTTTTTAAAGACCTGCTTTGCAACAGGTCTGATGAGGCCATAGTTTACTCCCCGGTATAATACTAGTAGCTGACACTTGAGAAGTTATGGAAGATACCTAAATATAAATTGCATATTTGAGAAAATTGGTAGCTATCATATACTCAATTTGTTGGCTGGGTTTTAAAGTCATTTCAAATTGATCGTTAGGAAGAATCACCTTCTTACGAAGGAAATGCCCTCAATAAATTGTTTAGTATGAATACTGATCTCTTTGAGAGTAAAGGACTTAGAAGAATGCTCATTTTGTACAACAGGGCTTTCGGTTCTTAAGGAATCTTAGATAAGGGGAGGAAGGTTATTCCTGTGATACATATATACCTGAGGGTTCAAGTTAAAATTCCAAGTTTTCTTCAGAACCCAAATAAGTTGACCGAATAAATTTTATGGGAAAGCATGGATTTTGAAACTAGCCCAAACCTAGGTCAAATCTTAGCTTCACTACTTACTATCTGTGGCAAGTTACTTCCCATATTCTAAGTTTCCTCATCCAGGAAAATTAGAGATAATAATTGTAAAGCATTTGGCTCATAGCTATAGATGGTAGCTATAATCACAGGGATTTGACTGTGATCGTTAGGAGACTTCTTAGTTTGAAGATGTTTGGTGAGGTCTCGTTAAGGTTATTCAAGTGACAGTGAGCAGGACATAATGTTGATATTAATGGGAAAACTTGTTAATTGAACAAATATGTTGATAATCCACCAACAGGATGCCTGCTACTGTGCTAAATGAATTGGGGAGGCAGCAGAAGAGAATTCTATTCTTAGAGTGTTCATGGTTAGGCTGGCACTAAATTCAATTAAATACTTTGAATTAAGAAATGTTTGCTCTCAGTTTAAACTCAGACATGTAAAACTTGGAATGGTTGTTTGAAATGTGCTTTAAAGAATGGATTGGCCAGAGTTTGAAATGGAGAAAGAGAAGTGTCTGGGAATAGTGTATATCATAACAGATAATGAGAAGGTGGTCCAGTAAGGAATAATTTTGAGAATAAACAATCTAGCTTGGATTGAATCCCATGAAGGATCTAGAAATTTAACAACATTAAACAGAAACAACTATAAGACTTTACACTTAAAGTTCAAAATTATAGATTAGGAATGCAAAGGCTCTGGAGGGGGAAATTGAGCAACCCTGGAAATCTTGGGATAAGAGGAAGGGCAGATTCTTCCAGAACCCTAAATATCTAGATCTCTCTGGGGAAACTATGATGTGCATGAAATCTGTGATTGAAAGTGAAGGTTGAAATGATGAATAGGAAGTCATTACAGGGATTTGAAGATTGGTGTGACCATCACCAAGCAAGTACACCTGGCAGCATTCAGGAGTCATTACCGAAAATGACTGAGCTGAGGACCAATGGCATAGATGCATTTTAAGCAAGAATTATCTGGACAAGATGGCAAAAGTACAGAGGAGTCTGAAAGGGAGAAGTGGGTACAAAAGGAAAAGAGGGCATAATATAGTACCTTATAGTCCTAGAAACTAAGAAGGAGAGTAGATCTATCTTCCTCAGAAGTATTCCTGAACATATCTGGAATATGATTATTAGTAATTGAAACTCAAAAGCAGATTTTGGGTGGATAGTGTTTTTAAGAATTACTGGAGTTCAAACTTGTAGAAGGGAGATATGTCAGTTGACAGAAAAGTTAAGCTGAATGGTTGCGAGTAAAGTTCAGAATTAATTACACAGCTATAAAGTACTGCTTTAATAGAAAGTTGACTAAATGAGGAAGCAAATGAGCTCTTCAAGTGAGATTATAGTGTCCAGGAGAGACTTTTGTGGGCCCTCTTGGGATTTGGAGAAGAGTATGAGTGCAGTAGTTCATTGTACCAGGCCACCTTAATCTAGATTGGTTTGTTTCAGAGAACTCCTAGGAGGTTAGGACCACAAACATGAGGTAGATCTCCCAGGACCATAGAGACACTCCAGATCTCCTTAGGTGGATCCTACTTTCACACCTGCCACACTAACTCCAGCAGTAGTCACCCTGGAGCCGAGGAAGCAACAATATTAGCAGCACCTGTTTAACGTATAGCCTTCAAGCTCTGTGGTAACTTTCACTGTCCTTGATTATTTGTGAGTCCTGTGGGCTTTCTTTATCCTCCTATCTAATAAAAGAGTAATATGCAAATTGACCATCACTCCAACACACAAGATGGCCAGCAGGGGAGGGCAATTGGGAGGGACCAGGCCAGCAAGGGAGGGCAGTTAGGGGTGGCCAGGCCGTCAGAGGAGGGAAGTTGGGGGCAACTGAGCCTGCAAGGGAGGGCAGTTGGGGGGGGGGGGGAGACAGGCCTGCAGGGGAGGGCAGTTGTTAGGGTGTGATCAGGCTGGCAGTGGAGTGGTTAGGGGGTGATCAGGCTGGCAGGCAGAAGCAGTTGGGTAGCCAGCAGTCCTGGATTGTGAGAAGGATGTCCCAGATTAGAGAGGGTCCAGCAGGCTGGGTTGAGGGACACACACCCCCATGAATTTTGTGCACCAGGCCTCTAGTTAATAATAAAATCACTGTCTCCATGTAAAGTGTTTTTGATACAGTAGTTTCTATTGCCACAAAATCTTGTGGTTTTAATTATAGATCCTTTAATTTTTCCATATCTTAGTTAATGAATAAAATTTATCACATTCTGAGATTATTTTACTTGCCTAGTAGCTGGACCGGTATCATTGAAGTTTTGGGTTTTATCTTATTTGTTTTTGTTGTTGTTTGTTTAAGTTTGTTAAAGGCATGAATTTTAAAAATCTCCAAGGAAGTTTGGCTATAAATTCAGAACCTGTGCTTCATATTACAGTGAAATTGTAAAAAGCCAGAATTTTTAGGAGATGTCCTGTTCTGTTTAATTGAATTTTCACAATAGCTAAATATTAGCAGAAATTTTTTGTTTACACCCTTTTTAAAAATTCCTCCAAGTAGAAGGTACCTTATTTAATTTTTCAAATATGTTCAGACTTTTTCAATGAGTCTCTTATCACTGTTAGGCCTCAGATACTAAAATGAATCTTCAACCTCAGGACATAAGATAGAATTACTGTCTTATGGTTATCCTACTCCAAGAAGGATTTTATCTTTTTTTAAAAATATATTTTTAGCCGAGTCCCGTTTGGCTCAGTGGATAGAGCATCGGCTTGAGGACTGAAGGGTCCCAGGTTCGATTCCAGTCAAGGGCGTGTACCTTGGTTGCAGGCACATCCCCGGTAGGGGGTGTGCAGGAGGCAGTTGATTGATGTTTCTCATCGATGTTTCTAGTTCTCTATCCTTCTCCCTCCCTCTCTGTAAAAAATCAATAAAATATATTTTTTAAAAATAAAAACATTTATATTGATTTCAGAGAGGAAGGGCGAGGGGAGATGAAACATAAATGATGAAAGAGAATCATTGATTGGCTGTCTCCTGCACGCCCCCCCCCCCTCCAATTGGGGATCGAGCCCCCAACCCAGGTATGTGCCCTTGATCAGAATCGAACCCAGGATCCTTCAGTCCACAGGCAGATGCTCTATCCACTAAACCATATCGGCTAGGGTAATATCTTTTGACATATGTTTTTATCTTTTGACAGAATTGATGGGAGCTTGTGTTTTCTCATCTTTTCTTTTAAAAGGGTGATAAAGGAAATATAATTAATTAGTTTAATGTTCCAAGAATTGGTTTCAGATTGTTAGTTTATTAATCATATGAGAGATTACTTTTATCCATCACCAAAAAGCAGATAAGTGTTTTATTTTTTTATGGTAATGATTCAATTAATGGATGACAGGAATGACAAAAGAAAAACACTCTCTAAGGACCCCACCACTTTATTTATTTATTTATTCATTTATTTATTTATTTATTTTTTTATTGACGAACAAGTACAGAATCCTAGGTAAGGAAGGGGAG